GGGGCTCGAACTCACAGACCGTGAGATCGTGACCCGAGCTGAAGTCGGACACTCAACCGACTGAGCCACCCAGGCACCCCAGGGAAGACTTCTTGCATAAAAGTTTAAAAGTACTAACCGTAAAGCAACGTATTGAGGAAACTCCTACCTGAAAACGTAGGATTTCTCTCAGCAAAGCACACACGGAGAGAGAGTTAAATGGATTGGTTGCCTGTGGGAGGATGGGAGGTGGGAACTAGGGCAGCAGAAAGAAATACAGCAGATCGGGGCACCTGGGTGGCTCCGTTGGCTGAGTATCTGACTTCGGCTCAGGTCATGATCTCACGGGTTTGCGGGTTTAAGCCCCACGCCGGGCTCTGTGCTGACAGCTCGGAGCCTGGAATCTGCCTCAGATTCTGTGTCGCCCTCTCTCTCTGCCCCTCCCCAGCTCATACTCTGTCGCTCACTCTCAGAAAATAAATATTTAAAAAAAAAAGAGAGAGAGAGAGAGAGAAAGACAGCAGATCTGGAGTGCACCAGTGGCAATCGCATGCCATAAGTGCCTGCTTGCGTGAAATTTGCTATCTCTCATAATCGAGCTCTGTTCTGATCTCTCACTTCAGACAAGAGACTCATTTGTTCAGCTGGTGGGTTAGGTCAGAGGTGGCCCATGGCCAGCATTGGTTAGCTCTTTTGTGGCTCGTCTCTGGTTGCATTTGGTGCAACCGAAGTTGCACATCAGCCAACACCTATAAAGCCTCCTGGATTAATCCAGGTGCTTCCGTAACACCAGCCGGGGGCCACTGAGCAGATTGGGAGGAGAGTGAGGGCAGGAGTTAGTGGTACCTGACGCCCTGGTCCTCGGGAGACAGAAGTCACACACGGGCTGTGTGACATTGGGAGGACGCTGCAGAGAAGATGATTCTGTCACTTGGCTGCCTTTACCACAGCCATCTGAAGTTTATGCCCACCAAGAACTCGTTAAGCAATAAAACCATAGACAGTAATATGTGTGAGGGTCTCTAAAAATTATTTAAAATTTTCTAACTATGTTACAGAACGTGTGGAAAACACAGCCTACTGCTTTAACACAGAACCAACTTTCTTTCTTTTTTTTTTTTTTTTTTT